AGATTTAAAACTTTTGTAGAATTGTGTTGTGCTGAGGAGGGGGTATGTCCCCCTTTAGGGGTCTGTGAGAATGTTTATCTATCTCCAGCCAGGTGTGACCCTGGGTCACAGAACCTAACAAACAAAAGGTATTTTATGTTTTTACAACTGATTTAACAATTTATTTGTTTTTGTTCTGGTAGTATTTAAGAGAAAGTTGCAAATCAGTCTTCGCGATTCTGTAGCCAGAAAGCCCGTAGTATGGAATGTGTCCACACACTCTATACTATGTATTTTCCTGAAGTCAGGTATGCATCCTTTGCTCTTAGATTTATCTTTGAGAATTTGATGTCTTGTATTGATTTGATATCTTTGAATTGATTATGTAATTGGCATGATACAAGTTTACCTGACAAATAATAAATTGTTATATTTGATTTATTCTGAACTTTTCTTGAAATCATTATGACTAGTAAACTGTGAGGAGGCTTTTGTTACCGCAAATCTACGGCCAGGATAGGTCAAACTGAAGGCTCATGAATGGTAGGAGCAGTAGGCACGTCATCGGAGACCTTCTGATTTCTGTCTATCGCCGATGTTAGCAAGTTGTACGGGAAAGGACTAAGTGAATTACACTTTTTGTCATAAGCAAGCAGTAGGCGGCAGGCAAAACAGGTATTAGTCTACCTACACCCTCTGACTAACATCAGACTGGCTAGTTTGCGTGCGTGAGTTTACCGCAAACCCGGGGCGCGTATCTCTGAGCGGCATTGGGTCCCTGATGAACGAATAATTGAAAGTATGGGATTTACAGAATACTCAAATATCTAAATTAATAAACAATCGATATCTGTGATCAGCTTTTGATTAGAAATATTGCCTAAATTTAATGATCACGTGAAATTGGAGTCAGATTGAAAACGGAGCTAGACAAAATTTAAACTAAATCCTGATAAATTCAGAAGCGCAAGTAAAAGACCGAATATGCATTAAACCTTCGACCAGGCCGCTGGATTCCGCTTTTTGGGCTGGTGGGTGGATTCTTACACCAGTAATGAGCCCTGGGGCTAAATTATGAAAGACAGTGATATTGATAAACTCTAATGTTAACTGTTCTGCTTTTGGTGCTGGGGAAATTAAGGAAATAAACAATTTATTATTGGTACATAAATATTATCATGTGATAATATCCAGATATCCGTCTGCGATGCGTTTTCGGTTTTTGCAATCCAGCAGCAAGATCTATTGTACTTTAGGGCTGTGTGATTAATCTAATTTAATTTTTGATTGAGTTTGACTTCCGAGGATTATGAAAGCAAGTTGAGTTAAAGCAATATATTAGAGACAATTTAAGTACCAAATACATGTGTTTCAAATAAATGTTACACCATGCTGCTGCTGTTGTTCTTTCAATAAGCGAATTTAAAGGGTATGCAATAAATGAAATGCCAAACGAACATACAATAATAAACCTTTGTTATTATCTAAAGTAAATCATGACATCATATAAAATATAAAAAGTGTAATAATTTATCCAGTTTAATAAAATAAATGAACACTAATAAAACAAAGTAACAAACTGACTCCAATATTTTTTTCCACATCATGCTAAAGTTTTCAGACGATGAGCCATTCACACTTAAAGGACTGATTATGGAAATAGAATGGTTCTTTTGTATTGCAAACATGATACTTGACTCTGAACTGCTGCTAATCATTATTATTTTGTCTATAATATTCTGACCATTGGTGGCCGTCTCAGACCTAGATTGCCTACACTTTATCATTTCATCTTTGTTGTGTTTAAACGCGCGAGCAGCCACCCACTAACCCAACAGCTGGGTTACACAAAAACTACCCAACACTGGAAAAAGAACCCAACATTGTGACTCAACAGGCATAACTCAGCGATTGAGTTAAAAAAAAATAACCGAGTGTTTTTAGAGTGTAGTTATCATAAAATCGGACTATATTTAGATTCACATAGACATATTATGCTGCTGTAGTAGTTGATGAAGACGAGTAGTGTTTGTTTTTGTATTGCTGATGTTTTATCCATGCAATGAATATTATGAGAAAATATGACAATATAATAGAGTCTTTCCATAGAGCAGTTTAATAGATTTTTGGCATACATCCTGACTCATATAATCAGTTTCTAGCAGCAAACACTCAGAATAAAGTGAGATGATCTGCTGATGATCCTGAATGTCTTGTTGAATGAGTGTTGATCTTCTGAGGATCATCAATATTAACAGAGCTGCTGAAAAGACTCTTTATTTCATGTCAATAGCTCCTGTTTTCTCCTCATTTATTATGCTGATGTCTTCAATTAAATTAGCTTTAAGTGGCAATTTACAGAAGATCTGGTGTCAGTACTGAGGGCATTTGTTGGTTACAAATCTGTAGATGCATTTCTGTGTTTGTTCTTACCATTATTTATATTATTTATAAAAATTTTCTTACCATTATTTATATTTGAAAAAAAAATTACATTATTTAAATTGTGCTGTGAAAACGATCTCAGTAAGTGATATATATATATATATATATATATAATTTTATTTTGGCAGATAGCTCCTTGCATGCTGCAATTCAACTTCAATGAAGCTCCTCCCACAAGAATAGCGTCATCAGTGAAGCTCCTCCCACAGTAATTCAACAATAAATGCTGGAATATCTCCATCAGTTTACAAGTGAAGACGAGCATTAAAGCACCAGGAAGAGCTGAAATCTGCAAAGACTGAGTTTATTAAAGAGGACAGAGAGAAGATGAGAGATCCAGAACCCTGCAGTAGTGTTTGTGTTATTGTTGATGTATTGTTGTGTTATTATTGATGTTTGATCGGCTATTGTGAGAAATAACAGTATTATCTTTCAGTAAAGCATGTTTTATAGGCTTGTCTCTTTTATAATCAGTTTCTAACAGCAAACACTCAGAATAAAGTGAGATGATCTGCTGATGATCCTGAATGTCTTGTTGAATGAGTGTTGATAGTCTGAGGATCATCAATATTAACAGAGCTGCTGAAAAGACTCTTTATTTCATGTCAATAGTTCCTGTTTTCACCTAATTTATTATGCTGTTGTCTTCAGATCTCCTGTAAATTGACATTTAAAGCTCATTTCATTGGTGTCAACAGACTGATGCTATTTGATTAAAAATCTGTACATTTATTTCTGTGTTTATGCTTTCAACTGGTTCCCTTTCATGGGAACTTCAAACTGCGTCCTCTAGGGGTCGCTATGGGGAACGCCTCATCGTGACCCGTGTCTAAAGCATACATTGAAAAAACACCAACTCGTTGGCCGGCGACAGCCATGACGTCACTAC